GAGAAGGCGGGTCTTTCAAAAATTTGCGAGAAACCTCCACTACACCTTTAAGATAATAACTGATAACACAATTTGGTACTAAAAGCTGTTTTTAAAAGATAATTTTATTTAAAATAAATTCTATCCAAACCATCCTATCCCAAACCCCAGCCTTTCCCCCAGTATTATGTTAAGCGTTGGGACTGCGAAATCAGGGAAAAACTGGAACAATTGTGAAAGTGAGGGACTGTCCAACTGGCTACTGCAAGACGTCTTAGCTAAGTCATTGGAGAAGTTGCAAAAGAACTGGAAATGACACTTAAGGCACTGTGGACCTCACTTTTTCCTTGGTTGAGGTCAATGTTCATAATTTAGCAATGAGAAAGAGGCTGGCAAGATGCCATCCATGAAAGACTCACCAGGCAAAGCTACTGCTAATAGAAAAGAACACGAAGATCTCTTTGACATTTGTAAAACCCAACATTAGAATTAGACAGATTTACTTGTCATTTTGTTTACACAAGTGTAAAACAAAAATAAATTTCCGCTTAGAACAGCTCTATGAACAATTTCATTTTTTTAAAAGTGCAGCCTTGAAATATAGTAAAAAATATATAAAACCTATGACTGTAAATTTACAGTTCTAACATTTTCAGTTGTTTTTTTTGTTTTGTGTTTTTACATTGACATCCCAGTAACACGAAGATTGTTTTACATATACTGCGTGAGCCCTGTTATATTGGGTATAAAAGAAACAGTATTTCAGGACACGAGCATCGCAGCAATACCCAAATATGGTTTAGCTTGGTTTGAGTAGCTTCTTTTTTATTTATAACTGAACTAACTTCTTTAATTGATTGATCTGTAAGATCTAAGTTGATGGGAGGAGAAGTTTCACTGCACACAGCTTTAAAGCTATAGAAGTTGTTTGAAGTTGTCACTTGGGTTACACTTGAATGTTGTACTCTGTTTCATTACTCTGTCTTAAATAAACATTTAAACCCAACGTGGATGCTTGCATTCTTTAGAGACTTCTCGGTGCCTGATCGCTGCCCTTATGTTTTCTACATTTTATCAAAAGATTCAGGTGTCGACTATTAGATCAGGTTCTAGAAGTCATTGCAGATACCATCTGCAGTGGGATTAGCAAGTGACTCAGCCTTATGAAGAAGACTTATCACTTTCATCTCTTATGGGGAAAAGCTAACATCAGCTGCCAGGACCCACTGTTCTGACCTGCTGGCAATTGCACAAATGGCGATGGTATGTGTAGCTGGGAAAACAGAAACAAATGATGACCCGTGCAGATATCACTGATGTTGATGTGCTGAGAGGCTTCAGTGTTTGATGCAAGAAAAAACAAGGATCACCTTTTTTTCCCCTCGTGGATGTAACTAGTGCTACATATCTGAAATTGCTTTTCCGCTTTACCTCACCTTTGATGAGGAAAGTCTGTTTGAACTGGGGTAATGAATGATTTAGATATACTCTGTGCCATTGTTTAGTTTGGGGTCAGTCACACAGTAATTACCTCTGGAGCAAAACAAAGATAACACTTTTAAATATTTTATTTATAGAATATTATCCAACAGGACTGCTTGCTTTGTGATTATAGCAACAGAGACTCAAGTTAGCTGCATGAAATGATTCGCAGTAATTGAGTTCTCACCTATTTCTTTCTCTGTCCTCATTTGCCTTCTTTAATCACCTGCCACACGGTTTCTCACCCTCGTGGATGTTTACGGCCCCTATTGGGACTCTGCTTGATTATACTGATGGTATATAGAAAAATAAACATCTATTAAGCAAGTAGATTTTATGTGTAACAGTTTAGACTGATTTGGTATGTGGTTGGATGTTAGGCTCTTTAAGTTTGAATCCTGTTACAGTTTTATTCAATTAAAACCTCTATACTTATTATTATTATTATTATTATAAAAGTTATACTGTTTTTTTTTTCCACTTTTATTAATGTAACCCATCCCATCTTGTGTAATTTCCCTTTTCATCATCAATTTATTATTATTATTTAAATTTTTTTTTCACTATAAGGAAAAGAGAAGGCACAGCATGGGATTAGTGGGACCATGGAGGGTGGCTGTGGGTTTGGATGGTGGTTTTTGGTCTTCCTGCTTTGCTGTCCATATGAATATAGGGAGAACTTTTATGTTCTGTTTTGAGGAAAAAAAAAATAATAATAATAAGCCATAAATCTATTTAAAGAAAACTCCTACAATATTGCATAAAAAAATGATAACCCCAAAAGGTTTATTGAAATATATAATAATTCTTTAAGTTTGAATCCTGTTACAGTTTTATTCAATTAAAACCTCAGTAGTCTGAGTAAAAATAAATTGAATTACATTTTTTTTATTTTTTGTTTTTTGTGGTGAGGTTGGAGAAATAAAAGGTGTGTTGTTTTTTTTGTTTTTTTTTTTAGGTTAGAGGAAGCTGTTTTCAAACAAGGATGTGTTTTAGAAATCAAAAAGGCATTGAAATAGGGTTTCTTTATCGCTTGGTTCTTTATATACTGGTTGCTTTCTTTTATTAAACTGCTTTTTGTATTTGTTCATTTTGAAAAACGAATATACTTGGGTATATTCACCCGAAATCTAGAATATAGGTTTTGCTTATTCCTTTTTTTTTTTTTTTTTTTTTTTTTTAAACCAGCTTTCTTTATTACAATGTTTCTGTACTACAACACAAGGACTATGTAATTTATTATTATTTTTTTAAATTTGCTTTTTTTTTTCTCTCCTCACAGGTGCGGATTGAAACGGCTACAACACTAAAGCTGAATATCCTCGCTATTCAGAAAATGATCAAATGTTCCATCTGTTATAAACTTATAGATTTTATTGTTGCAGACTTTACAGTATGTGTTCAGAGTGTACAAACGTTGCTTTGTTTTTAGTCCATCCAATGCAGTAAATGTTTATCCATAACTCAGAATCACCTGTTGATGACTTTGAGTTCCGGACAGAACAATTCCTTCCAGTAAGTAGCTCTGAATCAACTTCTTTTGGAATGAAGCTTTATTTGTGGTTCATCCTCTTAATTAATCTTGAATGTTGTGTGTCTGTTTTTAGTACCTGGAGTCCATCTTTGGGCTGCTCTTCCAGCTGCTGCAGCAGGTGACAGAGTGTGACACTAAGATGCAGGTGCTCCATGTTATCTCCTGCGTCATCGAGAGAGTGAACACCCAGGTGAGTTTGTCATATTCTAAACTTTTACAGCATAGTTTAGAATATGACAACATAGTTTATAATAATATATAAATCATTTGAATATATCGAAATTGATGAGTTACTGTATAATAACTTGTTTCTTTTATTTTGTTTTTATCTTGAAAACTACAGCTATAAAAAACAAAATAAAATTGTGTTTCTTAAAATATTACAATAATATTTGTTGTTTTGAATTTATTGCAGTTGTCTTTTAAATTTGAATCTAACTAATCATTTCTATAGAATTTTTGTATCCACTTTTAATGTTACCAATCCCATCTTTTGGAATTTCCCTTTTTATTATCATCACTATTATTATTATTATTATTATTATTTTTTCACTATAAGGACAAGAGAAGGAACAGCATTGTGCAGGATGATTGGTGGGAGCATGTGGGGTTGCTGTCGGTTTGTTGTGGGTTCTTGGTCTTCCTTCTTTGTTATCCATTGTAATATAGGGAGCACTTTTATTTTTATGTTCTGTTTAAAAAAAACAAACAGTAAAATCTATTTAAAATAATATGAAAATACAGCATAAAATAACAATGTGAACATTGCTGGCTTTCCACTACATTGCATCTGACAATTGACCGCAAAGATACATTATGCTGCCTGTTTACCACTCTATGTACAAATATATGTATACAGAACGACGATTGAAAGGAAGAAATGTAGTAAAACAGGAAGACGAGCAACATTGATTTAAAATTTTCTGAGTGATTAACCAGTTTTTTTCTGTTTTTGTTCTTTATTCTTATGTATTATTGTTTCTTTATTACAAAGAAAAATAAAAAACAAGGCATGCACAATCTGACATTGTAAGTTTAAAAGGATACTTAAACCTGAATTAGATAAAAACAAAACCAGATAAATTCCACTCATAAATTACGCAGCACAGACGAGGAGGTTGACTATTTGTGACCAAACTGTTCCAATGTAAATCCCATAGATAAACAATGACGTTTGGTCAAGGAGTAGCTTAAGCTGGGTGTACACTGTGCGATTTTTTTCAATCGTTGCACGCAGCTGCTGCTCATACTATACGACTAATCGCAGGGTTTAGTCGTACATTGTGAGCTCACAGCTCACAATTTATGTTCAGCCAGACGCTCTGATGCTATCTACCTGCTCACACTGTACGACTAAAAACCACGTTGGGCTCCACAGTGAGATGGAGCTGCTCTGTAGCTCTCTATCCTGAAGCCAAACAATTAGAAAGGGAATATTAAGGTCACTATAGCAAACTGTGCTGCCTTCGCAATTTGTGCAATTTTGTGCTGAAAGTCCTAAAATGAAAAGCCAACGGCGTATTTGGAATAAAAGACATGGCTGAGCAAACGTGGCTACTACAGTCTGTCAATTTTACAGACAGAACTGCATTTCACTCATTGCATCCCTGCCATGCTGCTGTGTTTACATCTGAGAGGAAAAAGAAAAAGAAAAAACCTTGTTTGCGCATGCGCCCTGAGCGATTTGCCCACGATTCCTGATCGGGAGGTGGTCGTGAGAGGCTGCTTACCGCTCGTAACCCCCTGTACACTAAACGACTCACTGCGCACGATCAGGCTGAAAGTAGGCCCGATTGAAAGATTCTCGCACAACTGGAAAATCGCACAGTGTACGACGGGCTTTAGAGATACTAGAAACAAAGATGCAGGCCAGCATGAAGTCACTATTAAAGCAGCCTTGAAACCAAAGGTCCACAGGCTGATCACCTCTACGCTATGTTGCTTTAATGCAGCAAGTCAAGCAAAGTAGATCTCAGACTAAGTGGTAAGTAAAAATACTGTATAATACAGGGAAAGGTTTCATAAAAAAAAAAGCTGAAAGCAATAATCTTCAAAATGATATGTAATAGTGGAAATCTAACACTAACAAATCCATATATAGTTTACTTTTAAAATGGATCTCGGAAATCATCAAAGTTTTCGATCATTTTTTGATTCATTGAGTTGCATCTGTAGATGTCTCAAGCAGGAAAAATGAAGTTGTGGTGAACCTAAATATGAAGGTGCCCTTGTGAAAGGGAGACATTCTGTTACGCTGTGATGAATAACTGCACAAATTGGAGGTATTGACCTGTACTCTGAGGGGAAAAAGTTACACACAGATACAAAACATTTGTCACTTCATGCAACAATTGGACCAGAAAAGCCAAACAGCAACAAAACTTCACAGTAAGACAGAAATGAGTGATTTCCCAGTAATATTTTCAGTGCGTCTTAGCCCAATTCTTTTTAAATCACAAGGCCCCAGGCAGCTCTTGTTCTTACGTCTGCTCTAATTTTCCATGCGGGTACAGTCATCTTTCTGCACTGCTTTTATGGTCATAAGGATTCCATTTTTTCTGAGTATCAATCTAATCCATTTAACTGTCAGCCCTAAAAATAATGACCGTCTCTCGACCCCCTGCTGTTTTCCCTTTGATTTATTTTTTAATGATATATTCTTAGTACCTTTGCCTACATGATTCCTTGACTTAAATCTGTCAAATGTGTTACTTTGATCCTAGTGGACTGTCATTTTGTTGACGTCTTCACCAGTTGTTGGCACTGGCTAAACTTTGTGAGTCGGTTGAAGTCACATTAATATTCTAGATCCCCTCACAGAGGATTTTGAACCCACACTGAGTGGCAGAAGTTGAAGAGAAAAACCCTCAGCAATGAAACCATGAGTGTAGCTTGAATTGAAATGAACACGATGACAGATGTGTGATTTAGCTCTTTTTTCACTGTCAATCTCGCAAATGTCACCCTAGGCTGGTTAGTGGGTCTGCTTTTCCTCACTTTTTATCTCTGTCCTCGGGGCTCTATGTCACGTTTTTTTTATTTTATTATTTACTGTTCCCTTGGCTTCCAACTCGCTCTCTACTAAGGTGTAATTGAGCTAAAAAGAAATAAAAAATCCCAGTGTGGGGTTTGCAGCACGGCGCCGCTGCCTGTTTAACACCATGTAGAAGGTTACAGTTAGTCAAAGTGGAGATTTCTGAGGTTTCATTTGGTTTTATTGCAATATGTTGCACAAAAATAGAATGTTAACATACACGTTTTGTGTGACTATAAGAACCTTCATAATGCCATCCAGAAATATTGTTGTTGGGGAAGCATGATATTGGAAATTTGGTCGATATGCCAATACTTTACAACTCAACTAACTGATAACAGATATTTTATTCCTTAGACTTACTTACAGACTCTATAGTTTTCTCACTTTTCAAAATATTTTTATATTTTACTGACATCTCTCTTGTATCAGAATGTGACCCAATGGTGATGCAGGCATGACACTCACTTGTTTATCATAAAATCAATTAGTTAGATCGGTGGAATGTCAGATTTTAACTTTAACTCTAATATCTGCTGATGCTGATATTGATAACATTCTGATAATATCCTGCCTCCCTAATTATTAAGATTATTATAATGGTAAATAGGGCAACGAACAAATATTTTTCAAATCGATTTATTTGTTCAATATGTTTTCGATTAATTGATTAATAATTCGATAGCAAAAGTTTCCTTAAAAATATTATACAGAATTAAACCAGGTGAAAATGAAACTTTTCTACTTGAGGAGTTCTGGATAGAGATAATTGACAGAAATTTTTTTTTTTCTTTTTCTAAAATGCTAAATTTTGGTGTGTGTGTATATATATATATATATATATATATATATATATATATATATATATATATATTGCAATTTTGATAATAATTACTACTCTAAGTATGTCCCTCTGTTAGCTTAAGACATGTTTTAGAGTCCCTATGCTCCAGTAAACAATGAATCGATTACTATTACGATTAATCCGACTAATTGTTTCAGCCCTAATGCTAAATGTTTGAAAGATCAAAGTGGTAAAATAAACGTTTTTTTTTTTCCCTCCTCTGCCTTACATCCAGTTTGCTGGATAACTTTGTGACAAAGCACATTAGCAATGTAGATTTTGGATTTACTATAAAAAAAGATGTGGTCCTTCAGCTTATATTTGTTATTTGCTCAAGACAAATGAGATTAAAACATTTATTGTAGCATTAAGTAGTTTTTAAGTTGTTTTTAAAGTATTTCTGGTGTGAAAACTGAAGCAGTTCCAGACATTTATTTAGTTTTTCTGCTCAGAAAGCATGTTTATAACATTTGCTGCATTCAGAGGATGTTTATCTGTTTTTGCTTTAATTTGTTTTAAAATTAAGCAGCAGAACTGTTTCTCCACAAAATATTAAAAGTTGTTCTAATTAGTATTTTCTTTGCTTGTGTTTTTTTCTACTTTTGTTTATCCAGTTGTTTAAGTGAGCTAATTTTTTGTTTGGTTTTGTGATTAAAATGTTATATGAATGAATGATTATGTGGGTATATAGTTCTGAATTTTCAGAAGTACTCTTAACATTTTTGAATTTAGTTAATTTTGCCTTCAAACCAGCAGGGTTAAACCGGGATAACCGTGAATAACTGCATCAGTTTTCTGTTCTGCTGAAAAGTAAAAGTCACAATTGAGTTGGTTTGAAAATGTGTTGAGGAGAGATACAGTCTGTGTGGGAAAGAGGGAGCTGCCAAGCAAATAGGAGGATGTAAAAGGAAAAAGAAGAGGTGGTAAAAGGAAAAGATGAATGGTTATAGTGAGGGTTGACATGCCTGGCTAGATATTTAGGACAGGAGGATATGGAGACATGATCTTTTCAGGTAAAAAAAGATAAGCTACAGTTTTGATCTGCAGATTCTGCCCACACTCTGGCAGAGTTTTAGGATGTTTTTGTGAGAGTTTAAGAAAAATACATTTTCCACATTTAAATTGCAAAACAAAAAAGAAGGCATTTCAATTAACCGCTGTAGCTTTAAATCCATTTGTGCTTCGTTTATACATCATATGTTGTTAATTGACCTTAGATGTTGCTGCTGGTAGGTCATCAGAGCTCCGTCTGTCAAGCTTTCGTCATTTTTCAAGAGGAAGTTTTGGGTATTTCTTATGTTGTTGTGATGTCTGAATTGTGTCTCTGCATATGTTGTATTTATTCATGTACAAAACATTTAACCCCATTTGTTCTTTCACAGATATATTGCAATTCACAATATGCAACCCCCCTTTTCTTTTCAATTAAGTAACTGAAAAGGACTGATTGGTCCATCTGCTGTTTTGCTCAAAGAACTTTCCTTCTAGCATTGTTCCTCAACAGTGTTTTCCAGTATAAAATTATGTCGTTTTTACTGCCATTCAGCAATGATGCTGAGAATTTTATGATGTTCAAAAGCGACTCTCTGATTTCTTTTTATGAAAAAAGTTTAGCAGTGATAAAGTAATTTCTCTGTAACCATGCTGACCTTTAGCAAATAGTGAAAATGAAGGCAGTTTTATTCTAAAAGATGAGCCTGTCGACTCTCTTCTGCTCAGGCCTATTAATGATGTCTGCATTCACCCCTATTAGTGTTGCTGCTTGGCTTATTTTTAATCTGAAATAAACATTTTTTTTAAATACATTTCTTGTAAAATATGTTAAACTATGAAATATATTCCACAGTGAAGTGTATATTTTGATTCCCCTCTACCGTTTTTCTGCTTCAGATCCGACCATACGTAGGCTGTTTGGTTCAGTACCTGCCCCTGCTCTGGAAACAGTCTGAAGAACACAACATGCTCCGATGTGCCATACTCACTACACTCATCCACCTTGTGCAGGTACCATTCATTGCATCCTTATGTATACTCTGCAATGCTTATGTTGTGTCAAGCACAAATACCAGATCTTCTGTTGTGATATATGGATGCGTTTAGTACCTCTGGCACTTTCATGACTTTTCCATTTCTTACCGCTGGCCTAAAATATGCTTATCTCACAAATTGGTTATTCTTATAATATTTATGTGTGTCTTTTTCCAACTTTAATAGTCTTGCAAAAACTCAGAAGGTTCATAACACTCTAGTAGAAAGTGTATTAGGCCTGCTTCTGGCAGTGCAGAGCCTCATCTTGCAAGACATTTTTTATGAGTTGTCATTTCTGATCATTTGCTGCAGCATCACTTGAGTTTGCCACAGAGGTAATGAGAAAAAATAGCTCAGTCCATGAGCTTTGTCACCCACAGGAATGAAGCTTCCGCCTTACTCTTCAATATGCCTTGGACCCCTGTCTAGCTCAGCTGCATTACTTCATAGTGGCAGTTGATTATGCCAAGCTCCCATTGAGAGCAACAGGAGAACGCATCTGGCAAACTAAGTGAAACTCATGGGGTTGAACAAATGAGCTTTGAGTTGCTTGACTGCTTTGGCTTATGCAGGTCCTTGCAGAACTGTTCTTGCCTGCCAAGCTTTAACAGGCCTTGACAGAGCAAATGCTAAAATACTAGCATTATTAGCCTCTAAGTGCTAATGGTTATTGTCTATTGCATGATGAATCTCTGCCTCAATATTGGCTCATTTGGAACCTGTGGTTAATGGTAAACTGTTGTTTTGTCTCTGATTTGTCTTGGTTTGTTCATTGATCTATTCGTGGTTTGTTGATTAATCCAACAAATTCCAAAGGTCCTTATTAAAACATCAAATTTGTGTAGGCCTACATAAGTAAAGGCTAAATACAACACATTATTTGCAACACACTTTGAAAACTGCTTTCTAATCTTGTATTAAGACCCTACTTTATATTGGTGTTACACATGCATACTTATATGGGGTCCAGTGGAACAGAATATGAAAAGGTTAAAGAGATTTTGGTTATTTTGCAATGCTTTGAACAAGTTTTATGATTAAAAAAAAACCCTATTTTGCATGCTATTAACCATGAAGGAAATGCTTATCTTCTTGGTTGTTGGCAATTGTCTGATTTTTGTGTAGAAAACAGAAATAAACAGAACTAATTTGGATGGAATAGAAAAGGTCAGTGTTTCTTACAACTGCAGCACCCCGACTTAAAGGAACAACAGTCCTGAAGCAGAATGGAAATGAGTCTGTTAAGCCTGTTTATTTTGACTATTAAACTTAAGTCCATCTGGCACTGGAGCATTCAATCTTGTCTTCCAATGACCGCATAGCATTAAGTCAACTCTTAAGCTCATAAAAGCTGCAGTATTGACTCGCTTGTTTTTTAATGGATGAATTTTGCCCGTAAGACAAGGTTGTGCCAGCTGGGGTTTAAATGACGCTCTCGTTTCTTTTGAAAACCACATAAATGCAAGAGGGAACAAATTTAGTGTCGTGCTTCTCATAGAAACACTATTGAGAGTTCTGAAACTCTACTCTGGATCCTTTGTGCATTCACACAATTACGTTTCCCTTTTTTCATGCCCCTTAACCCCCTTCATAAGTCTACAAACACTCTTTCCAGTGCTTCAGCATGACTTTTAGTGTTTTGTTTGAATAACTTATATGAAGCCAAATGTGGGAAGGAATTGGATGCGTTTTAAGGACACCATCAGTAAAGGGTTCACTTTGATTCCCAGGACACATGGAAAATATTGGAGCAGTTTCTGGGAGAATACTATAGCAGTTTTTATAGCTGATAACCACATCTTTGCTCTAAAAGATAATTTTTCTGCATATATACAGCTAAAACTGTGTATTAGCACACCTACTGTATAAAAATATTCTTAAACTTAAACTGTCTGAGATCGAAGCAGATCAGACTCCTGGCGTTTAGTTAGGATTAGGTCAAATATTTTTTTTTTTTTTACCAAGATAAGAAAACAGAATTGGAGAATTCCTCTTATTAAACAATGAATTAGTAGTCATCAGATGGTGATATCATAACTCTTAAGCTCACTCTTATGTTTGGCATTTAAATGTTGGATATTTATAGATGTTTAGCACATGGCTAAAAGGGGTTAAAACAACATTAAATGGCTCTTTACACTTCATTACATTACTAAATAGACCAACCAGAGTTTTATTTAGGCTAAGCTGTAGCAATAACTAAATCCAAGGTGTTTAGACCCTGCAAGGTTGGTTTAAACGTCTAAATATTAACCTGTTTTCTACAGGGAAGTGACACTTTAATTTTCTTTTGCTTCTTAAGTGCTAAATTGTATTCTACTTAATGGTGTAGGTCTAATTGATGTACTGATGATATTTTCATTCTTTAATTGGTTACAATTACTAGCTTATCTACATTCAGTTTAACCTCGTGCCTGCAATAAGGCTGCCAAGGTATCGAGAATGTTTTTATTACCATCCACATCTAAAGTTTTAATATTTTCATCTCATTAGTGCTTTTTATGATAAATATATATATATACACACATATAATAATTTTATTTTTTTTAGCTATATCTGCATGTTATACTGAAGGCATGGTTTCTCCATGACAAAACAGTTTGACTTGGACCTCAACAGGGAATTATCTCCCCCAAAAAGATTAGTAGTTTCCTACTTACACACACATCATCCCAAACGTCATTAGAATCCAAATGACCAGGAAATGAGCTGTGACTCGGTTCCTAGAGTTGTGCTTCACTGTTTTCTTTCCCCTAAATTGTCAAAGGTAATGGGCCCGCACTCTTTTATAGGGTCATCAAATTAACATATAATGTCCAAACTACCCTTGAAGCTTGAAGGAAGTATTTTGCTGCAAAATCAAAAACTTTAAATATATGAAAAAAGGTTTTCTTTTGAAAGGTTAATGTTGATAGAACTTGGAGTAGCTGTACATGCCTTGCAGCATGTTCTTATGTTTTTGAAAGACAAAAACTGAGTGTGTCAGTATGTGGTGGGAGAAAATGTATAAATCTGCTTCTCTGCTATGCTAGGCTCGTATGCGCAGCAAATAACTTAAATTAAACTGGAGCATGCACAGCAGAGGAACCCTTTGAAGCATCCTGTCTGCATCCATGTCATGCTGTCACTGTTTGGCATTGACTCTTGCATCCTTTTGTTCTTCCAGGGCCTTGGGGCAGAGAGTAAGAACCTTTACCCTTTCCTTCTTCCTGTTATCCAGCTGAGTACCGACGTTTCTCAACCACCACACGTCTACTTGCTTGAGGATGGGCTGGAGCTTTGGTATGGATAAACATGCAGCACTCATACATTTCTGAGTACTGGAAAAATAAATAAAAAAAAGATTCCCAGGGGCAGACGTTTATGAAGCACTTAGTGATCTCATTTCATCCCTTACACACACACCTACACACGCGTTCTTTATTTCTGCCTCTTTTCTCTGGTGCGCCTTTCAATGATGAGTCTTTTTAGGCTTATCATTCGTCAGCCTCATTTACCCACTAATGTTTGCTATCCCGTTTAGAGGGCAGATGCAAACAGTTCACAGATAAGTGTTGCTTAATGAGCTCACCGTTACATCTTGTTTAAATTGGCCTTTTCACAGACAGAGACGCCTGATGGTCACTGAATTTCTTGGATATTCTTGTCGCCCCCTAACTTTATGCAATTGTTTTGAGATCAAGTCATTTTAAAGCCACTTAAAGAACATTTTACAGAGGGGTGCAGTGTCCTGCAAAGCAATACAAAAGGTTTTTCAAGAATGTACACAGTTTGCCTCTCATTTTGCCTTGTGCAGCCCTATAATTCTATCCTGTCTTTCATCCCATCTATGGAGCAGCACTGTCCTGTGTGGGTTTACTTTAAACAAGCCTCTGTCATTTTCTCTTGCTTTTATCTTTCAAGAGTTTTTTTTCTCTGTCTTTTTTAGTGTCTCTCCTGTTCCTTTCCTGTCGTCCTCTGAGATTTATTGTCAAATTAGATTTCATGTTTTCCTGAAACCTATTGTTGCCTTTTGGAAATTGGAGGATAAATCTAAATCTGTGCATGTAGGGTTAATAGTTTCACTCAGTGTTCCCAGTTTTCAAAGCAGCAAAGCAGCAGAACTAACCGGATCAGCCGACGTTTTTAGGAGATATTCTTTTTCATGACAATTAGTTTACTGCTAGGTTAAGCAGACCCCTTAGTCATGATTAACGACTGTAGAGCTACGGCTTGGGTTTAATTATGACAAATTTCAAACTGAATGTTTTTTGAAAAACATTTATCCAGCACATACAATGAAATTACATCTCCACAGCAGCCTTCTAATGGTGCAGTGGAAGCACTGCACATGTGTGACTGTTGTTTTACAGGAAAACAGAGGAGCCCGTTTAATCTGTGCTCTGACTGAAGACACGGTTTTCAGCTGAGGCTGATGGCCTGCCAGTGTTTTGGAGGTAGAAACGGCCCGCAGCAGAACTGGATCAGAGCAGAGATCAGAGCTTTCATGTGTTGCGGCTTTAATGTTTATGTTGTGTGTGTTGGGTTCTTCCACAACATAGAAAACATAAAGTTTTAAGATTTTAAAAAATAAATTTCAGTCTTAACATGGTTAGTATTAGTGTCTGTCTGTCTATCTATCCATATATCTATATATCTATCCATATATCTATATAGATATAGATAGAGAGATATAGATAAATATAGTCTTGAAAAAGGCATGAAAAAGTTTTGGCACCCCTATTAATCTGAATTATTTTATTTCTAAATATGTGGGTTTTGCAACAGCTATTTCAGTTTGATATATCTAATAACTGATGGACATAGTAATATTTCAGTATTGAATTGATGTTTATTGGACTAACAGAAAATGTGCAATATGCATTGAAACAAAACCTGACAGGGGAACAAAAATTGGGTAACCTACTGGTAATCATTTTATTGATTTTAAATACCCTTAACTATTTTTCACTGACTTACTGAAACAGAAAATTGGTTTGGTAACTTCATTAAGATTTGAACTTCATAGCCAGGTGTATGCAATCATGAGTAAATGTATTAAAGGTGGCCAGTTGCTAGTTGTTCTCCTGTTTGAATCTCGTCTTATGATTCATCATGGGCACCTCAAGACAACTCTTAAATGATCTGAAAACAAATATTTAAACAGTCCATCAAAGGAAGGATACAAAAAGTTGTTCCAAAGTTTTAAACTGTCAGTTTCCACTGTGAGGAACATAGTAAGGAAATGGAAGACCACAGGGACAGTTCTTAAAGGGGTTAAAGGGGTCATAGAATGATTCTACAGGTGCTGGTCATAAAATTAGAATATCATGAAAAAGTAGATTGATTTCAGTAATTCCATTTAAAAAGTGAAACTTGTATATTATATTCATACATTACATACAAACTCATATATTTCAGATGTTTATTTTGTTTAATTTTGATGATTACAAATGACAACAAATGAAAATCCCAAATTCATCATATCAGAAAATTAGAATATTACTGAAGACCAATAAAAACAAAGGATTTATAGAAATGTTGGCCAACTGAAAAGTATGAACATGAAAAGTATGAGCATGTACAGCACTCAGTATTTAGTTGGGCCTCCTTTGGCCTGTATTACTGCAGCAATGCGGCGTGGCATGGAGTCGATCAGTCTGTGGCACTGCTCAGGTGTTATGATAGCCCAGGTTGCTCTAATAGTGGCTTTTAGCTCTTCTGAATTGTTGGGTCTGGTGTATTGCATCTTCTTCTTCACAATACCCCATAGATTTTCTATGGGGTTAAGGTCAGGAGAGTTTGCTGGCCAATTAAGAACAGGGATACCATGGTCCTTCAACCAGGTACTGGTAGCTTTGGCACTGTGTGCAGGTGCCAAGTCCTGTTGGAAAATGAAATCTGCATCTCCAAAAAGTTGGTCAGCTGCAGGAAGCATGAAGTGCTCTAAAACTTCCTGGTATGTGGCTGCGTTGACCCTGGACCTCAGAAAACACAATGGACCAACACCAGCAGATGACATGGCACCCCAAACCATCACTGACTGTGGAAACTTTACACTGGACTTCAAGCAACGTGGATGAAGTGCCTCTCTTCTTTTCCTCCAGACTCTGGGACCTTGATTTCCAAAGGAAATGCAAAATTTACTTTCATCAGAGAACATGACTTTGGACCACTCACCAGCAGTCCAGTCCTGTTTCTCTTTAGCCCAGGCAAGACGCTTCTGACGCTGTCTGTGGTTCAAGAGTGGCTTGACACAAGGAATGCGACAGCAGAAACCCATGTCTTTCATACGTCTGTGTGTGGTGGTTCTTGAAGCACTCACTCCAGCTGCAGTCCACTCTTTGTGAATCTCCCCCACATTTTTGAATGGGTTTTGTTTCACAATCCTCTCCAGGGTGCGGTTATCTCTCTTGCTTGTACACTTTTTTCGACCACATCTTTTCCTTCCCTTCGCCTCTCTATTAATGTGCTTGGACACTGAGCTCTGTGAACAGCCAGCCTCTTTAGCGATGACCTTTTGTGTCTTGCCCTCCTTGTGCAAGGTGTCGATGGTCGTCTTTTGGACAACTGTCAAGTCAGCAGTCTTCCCCATGATTGTGTAGCCTATAGAACTAGACTGAAAGACCATTTAAAGGCTTTTGCAGGTGGTTTGAGTTAATTAGCTGATTAGAGTGTGGCACCAGGGGCCATCAATTTTGAACCTTTTCACAATATTCTAATTTTCTGATATGATGAATTTGAGATTTTCATTTGTTGTCATTTGTAATCATCAAAATTAAACAAAATAAACATCTGAAATACACTATATTGCCAAAAGTATTTGCTCACCTGCCTTGACTCACATATGAGCTTAAGTGACATCCCGTTCCTAATCCATAGGGTTCAATATGACGTCGGTCCACCCTTTGCAGCTAGAACAGCTTCAACTCTTCTGGGAAGGCTGTCCACAAGGTTTAGGAGTGTGTTTATGGGAATTTTTGACCATTCTTCCAGAAGCGCATTTGTGAGGTCGCACACTGATGTTGGACGAGAAGGCCTGGCTCTCAGTCTCCGCTCTAATTCATCCCAAAGGTGTTCTATCGGGTTGAGGTCAGGACTCTGTGCAGGCCAGTCAAGTTCATCCACACCAGACTCTGTCATCCATGTCTTTATGGACCTTGCTTTGTGCACTGGTGCACAGTCATGTTGGAAGAGGAAGGGGCCAGCTCCAAACTGTTCCCACAAAGTTGGGAGCATGGAATTGTCCAAAATGTCTTGGTATGCTGAAGCATTCAGAGTTCCTTTCACTGGAACTAAGGGGCCAAGCCCAGCTCCTGAAAAACAACCTCACACCATAATCCCCCCTCCACCAAACTTTACACTTGGCACAATGCAGTCAGACAAGTACCGTTCTCCTGGCAACCGCCAAACCCAGACCCGTCCATCAGATTGCCAGATGGAGAAGCGCGATTCGTCACTCCAGAGAACGCGTCTCCACTGCTCTAGAGTCCAGTGGCGGCGTGCTTTACACCACCGCATCCGACGCTTTGCATTGCACTTGGTGATGTATGGCTTGGATGCAGCTGCTCGACCATGGAAACCCATTCCATGAAGCTCTCTGCGCACTGTTCTTGAGCTAATCTGAAGGCCACATGAAGTTTGGAGGTCTGTAGTGATTGACTCTGCAGAAAGTTGGCGACCTCTTCGCACTATGCGCGTCAGCATCCGCTGACCCCGCTCCGTCAGTTTACGTGGCCTACCACTTCGTGGCTGAGTTGCTGTCGTTCCCAAACACTTCCATTTTCTTATAATACAGCTGACAGTTGACTGTGGAATATTTAGGAGCGAGGAAATTTCACGACTGGATTTGTTGCACAGGTGGCATCCTATCACAGTTCCACGCTGGAATTCACTGAGCTCCTGAGAGCGACCCATTCTTTCACAAATGTTTGTAAAAACAGTCTGCATGCCTAGGTGCTTGAATTTATACACCTGTGGCCATGGAAGTGATTGGAACACCTGATTCCAATAATTTGGATGGGTGAGCAAATACTTTTGGCAATATAGTGTATATGAGTTTGTATGTAATGTATGAATATAATATACAAGTTTCACTTTTTTAATGGAATTACTGAAATCAATCTACTTTTTCATGATATTCTAATTTTATGACCAGCACCTGTATAGGGTATTTGGTGCTGGTCCTTAAGGTCTCTGAATAGGGTGTGTAACATTGGTTGGGCTGAAAATGGCATATTTGCTGTTCTATGAGCTCTAATGCAAACCTGGTTAAAAGCCCTAGAATGAACCGACAGGTTTTCTTCCTTTTATGGAATGTTCATGAATATTTAGATGAGCTGTGCGCTGATTGGTTTGTTTACAACAAGCGAAGCTGCTGAGCAAAGACGCATCATAGCAACAAGCACTCACTCACTGAATCATCGAATTGTTATGTTAGGTTGACCAGACGTCCTCTTTTTCCCAGACATGTTCTACTTTTCAGACCTAAAAAAATGTCCGGGTTGAATTTCAAAATCATCCGGGATTTTTGTTGACTGCTGTGCAGCAGAACCGAGCCAACAGCTCTGGGGCTAGTCCGGAACTCCCGGTGACGGTAGCCTGGACAACGGCGGCCACGTGCCTTACCGGGCAGGCGGGGGAAGCATACCGTCATCGGTTCAGGTTCGGACCAGCCCCGGAGCTGATGGGTCGGTTCGAATGCCCGGTCCGGTCTGATCCAGTCAGCGGCCCAGCAAATAAGGCAACATCCCCTAATTGAAGTCAACTCTGGGCTTTGTTTGAATTTGTCCATCTTATGGTGGAAGTTTAGAATTGTGAGATTTGCAGAGAAAGGAGGTCTCAATGGGGTTTGAACTTCTCTGTATGTCCATTTCACCCACTGAACTATCGGTATTCATCTGACAATGTAAACTCTGTTTTGCATTCTATGACCCCTTTAAGCCCAGAAGTGGAAGGCCAAGAAAAATATCAGAGAGGCAGGGAAGAAAAATTTTCAGAATGGTCAAGGACAACCCACAAACCACCTCCAAAACCTGCAGTCTCTACTGACCTTTCTGTGTTTTGGGCGAGTTTAGTAACTTCAGGTAAAACTATCAATCATTACTGTTACTGCCTCTGCACAACAAGCTCCCCCAAGAGTCACTTACTACTTACGTAAAAATTGTGTCACAATCAGCTGCATCTACCTGCAGCACAGAGCAAAGAAAAGCAGAGAGGAGACACGTTTGATTTTCTCATAGGTAATAAACAATGAATACGCAAAGCTGCCCATGTTTCTTCCCAGAATTACAAGGCTGGAAATAATTACAATGTGAATAAAGTTTTTAATAGAATCTCTTCTTTTTCTGAAACTGTTAAACTACAATAATTACCTGATTTTATCCCAGCTTGCATCACTTACTCACTTCGTAATGCTTATGCCTCTGTTTACCATTTTTTAAGTAAATTTAGATGTATGCATTGTGGCTTCAGGAAATGTTTAAAAATTCATACATTATTTAAGAAAGTATGGTTTACTTTTTTATGCTCCCCAGACCGCCCCCATAGGCCGCAACAGTAATAAAAAATAAATACTAGACAGAGCCCTGCTTTGTGAATTATTTTTGGGTTACAGCATTGAAACTTCCATCACGAAGCTGATATTGGATGCTTCTGTTACATTGCCACATATAGGGATTCATAACACTCCCATACCAGGAGTTATAGGTCAAATTAAATAACATTTTTGAGGAGTCAAATCACTGTATCATGTAAAGGAAAAGCCAAACCAACCAAACCACATCAGTCCTACAGGATTAACATTGGTGATCTACCCAACCCTAGAACTTAATCTTAATAGGAGAGCTCTGGGATTATAACAAACATGCTGTTTCTGAAGTAAGAGAAGTTGAGAATCTAATCTGATCAGCCTGGACTAGAAAACCAGCTCTTGGGTTGCAGAAGATGGTTGACTCACCGCAACACAGATGTGAAGCACTTCACGGGGAATGTGGCTTCAAAACTACATTTCAGTCCAGGGATTTATGAACAAAACAATACAGAAAAACTACTTCATTCTGGAAGCAATTTTCTGTTGTTGCTGCAAATGGTTAACCTTGAAAGTTAAAACCCATTGTTTTATTTGCATTCTGTAAAGCAATAACAAATTAGATGTTTCTGTTCTGAATAGTGTGTAATGTTCACAATATATTAACAGATTCTTTTCCTACATTAGTCCACATAAAATAAAATTAAAATTACTACCTTTTTAAAAGTACATTCAGCACATTTTTCTCTACTTGGTTTGGTCTTTGAAAAAAAAAAAAAAAAAGAAAGTTGAGCAAGTCAGACCTCTGAAAACTGCATCAGTATCAGCCAAAAAAATCCCTCGATCTTCCTGCAATGTTTTTAACTTAACAGATTATTTGGACACTGATGATGTTTCAAATAATTTATGCATCTTTCAGAATTCAGGAAATTTGTTTAGAGCATTAAACAGCCCAAATATTAATGACATTTCTCTTTATTTCTTCGTTTTTTTCTTAAAATGCCTTGTAGCTTTCTCCCAATATATTTTTTTTTTACTATAATCAATCAAATCAATCAGACTTAATTTACAGAGCCATTTAAACTACCAACCTTTGTACAATTCAATATCTATCAGAAATTAAGCAAAACAATAGATTTACAGCAGAATTATTAGAATAAGATGTAGTGAGAGCATAAAATCCCAAAGATAAAAGACCAAATAAAAGCATCGGCTCTGTTGGAATTATGATTCCTCTCCTTTTATATCCTTTTGTGCCTTTTCACCTCCTTCACTCTCTTGTTTTTCTCCATCTTCATGATGTCTGTGGTCTCCCTTTAGTCTTTGTCTGTAATTTGTATTGTTGCGTTTTTCTGACCTGTTCTCTTTCTGCCGCCTGTAATCCGTGTCCTTTGCACTTTTGTCTTATATCATCAGCTCATTTTCTGCTTCAACATTTCTTATCTGCTTTGTTCTTCATGTCTTTACTCCTCCTTAATGTGTGTTCTCCCCCTTTCCTCCCTGTCATTGTGTAGGTTGATGACTTTGGAGAACAGCCCAGCTATCACTCCAGAGCTGCTCAGAATCTTCCAGAACATGTCAGCTCTGCTGGGTGAGCCTACAAAACATTTCTTTTGTCTTCTCATTATCTGACTGGGTGTGTGCAAATGTTTCGTCTTAAGAATATTATGCATCAACATATATATTGCTCAAAAAAATGATAGGGAACACCTAAACAACACAATCACTCAATTAAATTCAACTTTTGTGAAATCAAACTGTCCACTTAGGAAGTGACACTGATCGACAATCATTTTCACATGACAATCATTTTCTGGTGAGCACAACCCTCCATGTGCTCGTCAGTGGTTGCACCACAGACTGCCAGGAGTTGGTGGATGCTTTAGTTCAGGTCAGAGAGGAGATCCCTGAGGAGACCATCTGCAACCTCATCAGGAGTATGCCCAGGCATTGTAGGGAGGCCATACAGGCAACACACAATACTAAACCTCATTTTGATCTGTTTAAAGGACATTGCATTAAAGAAATAGTACACCCAAAACATGATTAGCCTTCATTTTCTACTCACCCCCATGCTGAACAACACTCTGGAGTACTTTTTTGATATCTCAAATGCATCTGGAGATCTGGGAGGCTTCTTGCTGTCTGCTGACATTCAAATAATGGAGGTCTATGGCGCCCGAGGCAGAAAGGTCCATAAAAGTCCACAAAAAACGTGTCAATATTCCTCCATACTGGTCGTCCAATGTATTCCAAGTGTCCTGAGTGGGTAGCGTCCATAATTTACTCGAAACGAAGTCATTTAGAATGTTTTTAGAGCATAAACAGTAGTGTATAGGATTTCCTGAAAGCGCGCACCTGCGCGTTCACAACGCTACGGATTTTTTCTAATTATTTTAAGAGAGGTAAAAAAAAAAAAAGTTTACATGTGTTAAATGAGCTGGCTAATCATCAGGATGAAATAGTGTGCAGTTCTTTATAATTTTTTTTTTTATTTCTTAAACTTTTATATTTCTGTAAACATTCCAATAAATGCTAACATATTTTACCCTGATATAAATATGAAACCTATGAAGTCTAACATAAATCTTATGAATTTCAATTTCATATCATTTCATTTTTACATGAAGCTTTCTTTTTTAAAACATCATTAAAACTCAATCACACACATACAGTGTCTGATGCTGCTGCATATAGTTATTAGTGTGTTTATAAATTTAGTTATTTTTCTTTGTACTGGAAAACAGAAATCCTGGACTCCTTTTTTTATAGCAAACAAATCCTTAATAAAGAATGCTGTACACAAAGAAAAAAAACAACCTAATGTGTACACTACAACAGTTAAGTTGCTGAAGAAAGGTGTTGTCATCAACAGAACTACATACATTTAATTTTTTTGGCTATCGATTGCCTTGAAGACCAATGCACGGACACAATGCATCTTGGCTACTACTTCTGTAGGAGGCTATGAGTGGTTGGAGATTGAATTGAGCTGGTTGGATGATTTATTACGAGTTTAGGTCACCAGGACACCTTGCAAGTTGTCCATGTGTGTTCATTTAATTTTAGATTGCAATAAGTCAGACTAATACAACAGCTTTTGTGATCTTATTGGCTTTGCTGCAGCATCTGTTCTGTCTGTCTGGACTGTATAGACTACATAGGGCACGGAGAGCCGAAAGACTATGGATCACAGTAATAGTCGAGGAGGGAATTAAAGAGGATCAAGGAAAAGAAGAGGTTGATGGAACATAACAAGAAGGAGGTGGATGAAAACGGATTCAAGTGGCAATGTTCGGAAAATCCCCGAAGATGAAGAAGAGGTTGCATGCAAGGCTTGGACATGGATGAATAGAAAGATAAGGGAGGCTCTTATCATCTTCCTCACAGAAACCATTTTATTTATATATATATTTTTAAAGCATCACTTTAAGTCAGTTTAAAATGTATAAATAAAGTCTAAAAGAATTATACGCTGTATGCTGTAAGGAGACAGACACCTATATCTGAGGGTGCTTTGCATGAATTATATTCAATTTAGCATAGGCTTTATCAGAAAGGGCATAAAAAGATCATTTATTTATACTTGAAAGGAAGGCAGACTTTGTAAGATGAATTTAAAACAGACACAGTTGGCACTAATATTTTACACTGAGAAACTGGGAGCTAATTGGCTGTATCTAGATGAGTAATGAAGATGTTTAAAAGATTCAGTGAACACTAATCAGCTGCCATATGAAGTGTTTCTGGTGATGAAGTGAGAGAAGGTCGAGAATGTATTTTTAGGAAGAGATTGTTAAACTTAAAATGGAGGTTAAATGATAGACCATAAAAGATGGAGAGGTCGTAAGACTTTTGCTTTGGTCACACAATTCTAATTTGATAATCATTATATGCTAAAGAAATCACCATACCGCTGTTATAACAGCACAAACCAAATGTGTGTAGTGTTGTTAGGACAAACTGTTTAGACAGCTGTATATACCATCCAGATTTAAATGTTTATTTTTACTCTTTTAGCCCCTGAAGATGCATGTAACAGTTTGCTGTAAATCATTTTGAATTGCATGCATCGTGCTTCCGTTACACAGCTTTGGTGCTGTTTGTGTTGATGATAGTCTCATACAATGTCAATAAGATAGTCTGATATTGTATAGCGATAGGAATTGAGTAAGTTATCTAAAAGGGGTATAAATAGACCCCAGCATTAAAGTATATATATTTAAAAAGGAAGACTTTCTGCTATAACTGATTGAGCCTGTGCCACAGACCATTGTTAAGTGCATATGAGCTTTTTTGTTATTGTTGTGCATTGGTTTGTAGATGAAGTCACAAGCAGACAGAAAGGAATAAACAACAAAAAACAAACACAAAAATCTCCAACTTTTCAATTTTGTGCTTTAGCAGAAGGGGTGGCTATATATTTCCCACTTTGTGTCCAAGTTTTAAGCTAAGCAGTTTGTCTGCTTAGATTCTACTGCCAGAAAAAGACTTAACAAAAGATGCCTTTGCTCTGCTTTTTTCTTTTACCAGATTTTAACACATAATTATGAGAACATGATAGAGTAGCCATGTAATTTAACTGTCTCCTTTGCCTCTTCCTTGTTACAGTTTTAAATGCTGCAGTAACATTTCAGGCTTATGTAATTGCAGTGTGATTTGAACTGCAGCAGCATGAAGTTAACAGCATCCTTCTGTCTGCTTTCATGTTTTCGAACAGTAATATAGCAGACATATTTTTTGTCACTGACGATGCAATCCAAACATTGTTGCAGAATGGTTTAACATGCTAAAGGTGTTACTAACAGATCTAGTCGATTTATTAGGTGCAATCTCATGTAATGCTTGTCTGCAAACAAATAAAGCAAATCATGATAAAATGTAATTACCCTTCTATACCAATTAAGTTTTAAGAATAATCTGTGTTCTTATTCTTTTTGATTGCCCCAACTATAGATAATTATATAACAAAGGTTTTTTATTGTTCCCTGGTAGGGAATTTCTCATTTGCCAACTATAAGTGATACATAAATGAAAGCATACAGATCTAAATAAGGAAAAACCAAAAGTTAAAAGAAAAAATTGAGAACTCGGGACTTAAGAGTAAGGGCAAATTTCCAAACTAACTGTGCAGATATTAGCTGTTAAAAATAGAAAAAGATCAAAGAAGTGTGTAGCTCAGGTGGGTTTCTTCAAGAAATGTGCAAATACATAAAAACAGAAGATATATAAGCATATAGTTGAGTTTGTTGGGAGCAGTGGTGGTTATAAAGTCTAGCTTCCCATTTATATGGTGCCCAGCACTGTTTGAGGAGAATTTTGCAGTAAAGACACACCCATTATGATCAATGAGAATTTCTACACAGGGCAGTGTTGGGCACGTTACTTTGAAAAAGTAATTAGTTATAGTTACTAGTTACTTCTCCCAAAAAGTAACTGAGTTACTAACTGAGTTACTCCACAATAAAAGTAACTAGTTACTAGTAAAAGTAACTATTGCGTTACTTTTGCGTTTCTCGCCCCCGTAAACCTCCCCACCCGGCCCCCACCTTCTCGCCGTGTGTTTCCAAAGCCAGCTGAATAGAGTGGATGACAAAGACAAGAACCTGCAGACAGTTTAGCATTTATTGCAACTCAACGTAAATGACATCAGGGGGGAACGCGATGTGAAGTTTTATAACAGGACATTCAGATCTGGTGAGTATATGAAATTAATAACTGGGGATGTCTAATTCTGAAATCCTGTGTGTTTGGGTTGTTATAGATACTGCAACATCTATTTATCCATCTATCTATCTAGATGTATACTCTGTGTGTGACATAAAATATGGATCTCCATCCCTGCCACAAAGGCCATCAAATAATGTTTAAAATAAAAAAAACAGTAGGTTGAGAAGGCAGAGTATCTATCCATCCATCCATCCATCCATCCATCCATCCATCCATCCATCCATCCATCCATCCATCCATCCATCCATCCATCCATCCATCCATCCATCCATCCATCCATCCATCCATCCATCCATCCAACCATCCATCCATCCATCCAGATTTCTCCCATTCTCCATATAGGCTATCATTTCTGGCTGTTGTCAGGTTCATTTGATCGTTCACGCTCTCCATAGTTCTCCTGTGGCGCAAGCACAGGGCGACTGTTGCGCGCCTTTAGCGAGCATGCGCGTTTCCTGTCGCTTGCGCAGTGACTCTTGCCGCCTGCGCTGTGTGGAGATGCAGAGGAAACCGTTATGTGATGGGGAAACGCAGCTCTACGTAACACCGGTATTTCCATGTGGAAAACGCTGTTTTGCTGCTGGAGTCATCCTCACTCTCCATCTCTCTGTGTGTGCTGTACGTTAACACCCACCAGCAGAAACACCCACCTATTCAACTGACAGACAGAATCTCATCCTCCCCTCTCTCATGACCAAGGGCGTAGGTTTGATTTGAACTTTGGTAGGGACATTATTGGTCGGGTGTCATTGGTGCTATGCAATATTCATGCCCTTTTTTATGCTCGATGTGAGAATCCGTACTGATAAGAGGAATTCATTGTTAAAAGAGAAAAGCATCATTTTGCTACATTAATAACAT